CGATACTACGACATCTCCCCTTTTATATAAGGCAAATACTTGGGAAACCAACTTAATGGACACTAATTACTGTGTCACAACAAAGGGAATGAATCTTATCATTAACAGCAAATATATGCATAAGGAAATCTTAAAGTGTCTTTGGTTAATCTAAAGTTCACAAATCAAGCGGCTGGCAGCTTCACACTTCACCCAGATCTGGTTGTGTAATTGCATGCATAAGAGTCACTTTGTCTGAGCACTGTCGGTGTCCAAGGAGCTGCACTATCTTCATCGGCTTGATGGCTGGGGGAGCTTGATTTAACAGGTGATGGGACACCTGTCAGTGCTGTCCAAGTTTGAACAATTCGCCTGTTGTTCTAATGTGTTTTCTGTTATGCCTGTAGATGCCACCCAAACTTCCTTTGACGATGTATGATCTGGGTTCGTCACACACCTTGTTGACGTCCGCTGGTTCCCACTTGCTGGTGATTGGATTTTGAATTCTCACTGATTGGCTCTGTTGTAGTGGTGGCAGTGATTTGGTGTTCACGTTGTAGTACTGAGCTTGTTGATGACGATATGCTTGAAGTTTCCCCTTAAATTCTGTATCTGCAGACTTCTTGCTGATTGTCGGGAGGTTAGATCTAACCTTGTACTTGAACATTAGTTCAGCTGGTGAAGGCAGCTTTGGGACAAGGGGTGTTGTTCGTACGCACAGCATTGCCATAGCTGGGTCCTGATTTGACTCTATTGCCTTCTGAAGAGTTTTCTCCACGATTCCCACATACCTCTCGGCCTTACCGTTTGAATTGTGGTAGTGAGGACTGCTAGTGATCTGAGTGAATTGGTATTCACTTGTGAATTCCCTGAATTCATTACATTTGTACTGGGGGCCATTGTCAGTGATAAGGGTGTGTGGCACTCCATACTCTGACATCACAGATTTCATTGCGACAATCACCTTTGTTGCTGTTGTTGACTGGAGGCGTCGAATTATCGGAAAACAACTGAAGCAGTCCACCATTACCAGGTAGTTGTCCTGATGCCAGGTGAACAAGTCTGAACCTACTACATTCCATGGCTCTACAGCTTCAATGTGTAGAAGAGGTTCAATTTGTTGTGAGGGTTGGTTGTGTTGGCATGCTGAGCATTTTCGTATCATTGTGTCTATGTCTGTATTCATACCCTGCAAATATACAGTTTCCCTGGCTCTGAGTCTACATTTCTCAAATCCTTGGTGCCCAGCATGGATCCATTTCAAGATGTCTTGCCTCATATCCTGAGGTATGATCACCCTGTCTCCCTTCAACAAAACATCGTCATATATGCTTGTTTCATCCCGGGAGCTCCAATAATCTCTGACCAATGCATGACAGTCCTTCCGTGTGTCTGGCCATCCATACAACACTGCTGTCTTTAGGAGCTGAAGTTCCCTGTCTTTGTCGGTTGATTCCTTGATCTGGCTCAGTCATGGTAAGGATACATTCACCAGCCCATTCACGACGACATCCATACCTGGAATAGCTTCGCCAGGGATTGGTGTACGCGATAGGGCATCTGCTACTGGAATGTTTTTTCCTTGAGTGTATGTTACTGTATAGTCATACCTTTGGCTGCGAAGTAACATTCTCATCAGTTGAGGTGGGGCATTTACAAGGTTTTTCTTGGTGATACTCTCCAGGGGCTTATGGTCAGATTGGATCACAACTGGTCTCCCATATATGTAGTGGTGAAAATGCTCAAGCCCAAAAACTATGGCCAGCATTTCTCTTTCAATATTGCTGTAGTTTGACTCTGTGTCAGTTAGACTTTTACTTGCAAAGGCCACTCGCTGTCCATTTTGAACTAGGGCGGCACCCAGTCCCCGCTTGCTTGCATCAACTTGTATAGTTGTCGGCTTTTTGGGGTCAAAGTAGGCGAGTCTTGTGTGAGTACTTACAGCAGTTTTCATTTGTTCAAAAGCTCTCTTGTGTTCTGGGTGGGAACCATGCAAATTCTGCATCCTTCTTCAAGAGGTCACGTAGAGGGGCTGTGATTGTTGCCAGTTCTGGTGTAAATCTTCCCAGGTAGTTCACCATACCCAGAAGAGATTGTAGTTGATCTATGGACATTGGCGGTTCCACATTCACAATTGCGGATACCTTGTCATTGTGGACAGGTTCTGGTCATGTTCAGTATCAGTGTGTCCGTACACAACAATGTCGTCAGCTATTCCAATCACACCAGGCATTCCTTCAAATGTTTGATCTGCCTTCTTCTGAAAGACATCTTGCGCCGAGTTCAGCCCAAAAGGAAGCTTCTTAACGTCCATAAGGAGTGTTGAATGTGGTGAGCATTTTGATGATTCGTCAAGTTTTACATTCCAGAAACCTGATCGAGCGTCAAGTTTACTAAAAACCTTTGCGTCAGTGAGTCTTGGCAAAACATCGTCTATAGTTGGGGTGTAATGATGTTCTCGTTTGATCCACTTGTTTAATCCTCAGGTCGCCATTTGACTTTGTGACATAGACAAGACTGCTCACCCAGTCGGTTGGTTGGTCAACTTTCTCTATCACGTCCAGATCTACCATTCGCTGTAGTTCCTCACGTAGTGGCCCTTTCAACGATTCAGGAACACGTCTTGGTGGTTGAATGGTTCTGCATCTGCCCTGAATTCGATGTGGTAGTCTCCAGGAAATAGACTGACCCCTTCGAAGCAGTCAGGAAATCTGTCAATGAACTCTTCTTTAGACCTTGTAGGTAGGCCACTGCTTGCTTGGTCATTCTGTTTTGGAGGTGGATTCTGTTTGTCCTTATCAATACTATCACAGTGCATTGTTACCAGCTTGAGATCAATGCATGCTCGAAGGCCAAGGTTAATGGGACCGTTTGCTTCAGTCACATGAAAGTCAAGGTGCCTTGTCATGTTGTTTGTTGAACACTTGAGGTTGACTGTTTTGTATTGTTTGATATAACCTCCTCCATAGGCTGTGAGGTTAATGTTGGAAGGCTTTAATCCACAGGGAAGGCCGTTAGTGTCTATGTCTGCAGGAAATAGCTTATTGTACACCAGTCAAGGCATAACATTTGCTTGCCAACCTGTGTCCAGCTTGCAATTTATATGTGTAGTGTTGTCTTTTGCATGAATGGAAATGTTGGTAAATACCTTGTCCTTGGAAATAGAATGTAGGTCAATGTTGTTTTCAGTTGTCTGGTAGTCATGGTAACTTGCTTCAATGGAGTCAAAAACAAAGTTCTGAAACTTATTGTTGCTATCTTTGTTGGTTTTAGCAACTTCTATCTCACTTACTTCATGGACCTTTTTACCTTGGTTCCTTTGGTTTGGTCTGTTATTTGAGTTACTCACTGGTCCCCTTCCTTTAGAAAGGCACGTCCTGGCCCAGTGATTGAGTTTCCCGCAGTTGTCACATTGTGATCCGTATGCCGGACAAGTAACCTCACGTGGATGGCTGCGTCCACAATTCCAGCAATGACCGCCGTGCAGTCCTATGTTGTCTTTTGTCTCCCTGTCTGTACCTCTGCCTGATCTGTTCCCTGTACCACTGTAATGTCTGTTACTTTTGTCACTTCTGTTGCCTTGATAACATGTTTGTCGTGTTTCCCTTCTGTCAATGTTATGTATCTTCTTTGTGTTCTGTATGTCATTCATCTGTGCTTCTGTTGTCTCAAATGATCTTACAATTGCAAGGGCTTGATCAAGGATTAGTGTTTTATCCTTTGATATCAACCTTCTCTGGACAGTTTCATTCTTAACACCGGAAATAAGTGTGTCAAGTAACTGTTCATCAGTGTTTGTGTACTCTCATTATGCAGCAATGACCTTTGCCCTGGTAATGAAAGCATCAACTGTTTCTGTATCTTCCTGTCGCAAGGCCCTCAGTTGAAAACGTGCAACTCTAAAACATGATTTTGGCTTAATGTGACTCTCAAATTTCTGCCAGTGAATATTTATCTTGTTTCTATCGTCTTCTGATAAATGCCAACCTTCACGTATGTCCATGCCTTCCTCACCTGCCCATAACAAAAGATATTGAACCTTGATTTTCTCATCTTTCTCAGCGAGGGGTCCATTGAATATGAATTCACAAGTTTGTTTGAATTTCCTGAAAGTTTCGGGAAGATTTGCTGATTTGCTGATTTGCTGATTTGCAGTTCATTGATTGTTAGTTCTGCCTTGATGCAATTTGCTATCAAAATACGTTAATTTCAGTCCTAAATGCTTGTTTTCCGTTGATATCATCTCTATCAGCGGTTGCCGGAAGTTTACAATACTCACATTCGGCACATACCGTTTGTCAATCGGAAAGCTTGGTTTCAACGCCAACGTCGGCTTTTGTCGGAAATCGGCAATGAACAGTTCTCAGTGAGATGCAGCATGTCATGCGTTATCTTTTCATGGCTGTCTACAAATCTATCTTCTATGTAATTGCTTATGTTTGTTATTTGTTGGTGTGCAGTTTTGTTTTGATAATTTGTTAATGTCAATAATATCACCGTTTGGTTCGTAGAAATTTCATGCTGTTGTGCGTAGGCTTTTCCCGTTGTCTCGATGTCTCCGTCCGGTCAGATGATGTCTTCCCGATGTGTAGTCTAGTTTCTAGTCAGTAGGCGTAGGTGTCAACCCTTCTGACAACATGTTATGATACCTGTTCAATACCGGGGTTCCACACAATGATAATCAACGACTGATTATAAGTAGATGGCTGTTTATGTTGAGCATGTTTTACAGCAGTGGAGTCTTGCACGTGAACTCCAGACATGCGCATTAGAGCAATAGTAGTTAACTGGTTCTTGACCGATACTACGACAATAATGACTGTTTGATTTTCCTGAAGAATTCAAAACGGTGAAGTGTATGTGTGTATTTTGAATTTTATTTATTTTCAAAGTAAAGTTTGAAGAGGAGGGATATATATGTCCCTATGGCATCCATGGCATATGGTTAAGAAGGGTTGCATTTATGTAAAATGTTGGCATTATTTTAATGAGTCCTCAGAAAATGTGCTTTCATATTTCAGGTCAGTAGACAAGTTGTGTCAGAAATTGTTCGCCGTCCGAATCTGCAAGAGAGAGTCTCATGTATTGAAAAATGGGCAGCAATTGCAGATATTTGCAGATGTATGCATAACTACAATGGTGTACTCCAGATCTGTGCAGCATTTGTCAACAGCTCAGTATACCGACTGAAGAAAACCTGGGAGAGATTATCAAAACAGGTATGCATATGACTTATATAGCTCTTAGGTTAAAATCCAATCTCATTCAAATCAGATCTAAGTTCTCGCTGATGCTTAAACAAAGATCTGAGGACATCCCATCCCGGGTCACGAACTTTCACGAATTTTGACCGACCACTGAAATGAATAAAGAGAAGTCGACATCAACCCATTAGAAAGCAGCTTTTTCGAGCTTTAGGGCACTCGTTTCAACCTGGCGACGTCCATTTCATTCAGACTACGCTTGAAATATATGTTGACACAGTTCTCGATTTATATTTTGAAAACTGAACAAATGAACATTCAGGAATGTCTAATATATGGTTGAGATTGTATGGCAGTGCTTCCAATGTAGTGTACAAAGCCTCTTCCGTTTAAATGTTTATCCCACAAAAGCGAGAGATAGACAATAATTTTGACGGAATTAGTCAAACTGTCGTTTGGAATACCCCGTTTTTAAGTTTTCGAGATTGCATGATTAGAAAATACATTCTGACTGTCACTTTCATGATCTGGTAAGCGACGCTTTGATTGGTTGAATGAAAGGTCATTGTGACGTGACCCGTAATGGGATGTCCTCAGATCTTTGTTTAGCGATAGCGAGAACCAAGATCTGATTTTAATTAGATTGGTTAAAATCACTTGAGCAAGTTTTATTCTTGTGTGACTAAAAGTGAATTAAGCTGCAAGTACCTATCAGTAAATAAAGGCAGCTAGAGGCATAGTAGTAGTTTCTATGTGCATTCGATTATCAAAATTTGAGTGACCTGAGTCAACTGAGGTGACCACTTTTTTGGCAACCAGTATTGAAAAGATTCAACCTAACCAGAGTTTTTCAAGGACATCTACACTACATTTCAAAAGTTCCTTCCACTGTATCACTAAATAGTTTCGCAATATGTTCGCCGTTAGTGCCATGAAACTATCGCGAAAATGGCATGACAGTGCCACGATAGTGCTGCAAAATTTGCGCCATGTTGAAACACTACATTTCAGTAATAGGGCCGTGTGTTACTTCCCCATTTATAAGATACATTTATGATCAGTCTAACATGGAGCTAACTTAAGCCTGTGCAAAACATTTTGTTTGTGCTCCTCATGTTATATTAAGAAAGTTGTAGCCAGTTATATCCACTAACAGTGCAAGGCTTTACATGGACATGTTCTTAAAAAGTGTATTTTTTCTGCATGGATACAACACCTATTCTATATTAATCAATAAGAAATTCATAGACTAAAGTCTATGTTGGCTAATGTTTGCAACATTCCTCAGATTTAATAACTCATTTGTATAAGTTATCAATGAGTTTTTGTACCACATGTTCCGTAAATGTCGGAAATGCTGAGTGTTGACAGTGGCTATCAACGCCTACTCACTCATTTATATTTCTCTGGCTACAAAACAAACCCGAAATTATATTCAATGTTCAAATTATAAACCTCAAGACTTTGTGACTGCATTAAGTCTTTGTTTATGGTTTAGTTTCTAAAAGCGGTAAATGAACACGCAGCGTAGGTGTATTAGAGGCCTTTGGTGAATAATATACATAATATACTTATACTTAATACTTGGTGATATATAAAGTTGCAATAATTAAATATAAGTTTGCCTAAACTTGAATTACATTATCCTGACGATGCAGTTTGTTTTACCAAACAATGTTCAGATGGTGAATGTTAGAATTCTTAGAATGGCTTGAAGCAATTGGAAATAATTATAGTAACACAGCCAGCTTCAGTTAAAGTGAATACAATCTTTAAAAAATATTGAGTCAGGCCTATGTATGTGAATATGAAGGGATCCTTCCTGTTTAATGCCTTACCAAGCTTCACCTGCACTGTGATCATTCCATTCAGCTTATTGAGCCATTCTGGATTAAACATTTCCTCAATATCACCTATATGCTTGTACATGTATACCACCCTACTGACAGAAATATAACCTGTTTTGTCGAAATAGATCTACAAAACAGCCAATCCAAATTACTCTCCAAAACTTACATTAATTTCAAGACCATGCACATGACAATAAATAAAAAGCGAAATTAATAAAGCAAAAACTAAAATAGTGAAAACAATATCACTGTCTAAAAGGAACTTAATTACCTGTCGCGCTATATGTAACATTAGCAAAGAGACCAAATGAAAGGAAGGGGTTCGGTTTCAATTCTGCATGTTTCAATAATGGTGGGAAGCCATGATTTTCTTTGATTAGATAGACAATGCAAGTCAGTCATGCTTATTTCTTTTCCTGTACGTCGTGGTAATGTATAAAATATGAATAAAATTCATATAGGTTGGATGTGTTTTTATGTTTTGTGAGTGAGTGAGTATGGTTTTACGCCGCTTTTAGCAATATTCCAGCAAAATCACGGCAGGGGACACCAGAAATGGGCTTCATACATTGTACTCATATGGGGAATCGAATCCGGGTCTTCGTCGTGATGAATGAACGCCTAGGCTAACAACTAGGCTACCCGACTGCCCCTGTTTTGTGAGTACTTATACTATAACATTAAAGCGATGACTGACCAAATGTCATGGAGTTACAAAATATATTGGTGTGGTTTGCTGATTTAGTCAGTACTTCGACCCTCACCTGTACCAAAACGTCACAGTGAAAGAGTAAAGATAAAATCCATGTCAACACTATCTGAAAGGGCGCTTCATAATTGCATTACCTTATGATTTATTCATTGTTCCAAAAATATTTTTACTGTAACTGTACATGAAGTGATGCATGTTTAGACCGATGTATACTTTTACTTTCGGTTTCAAAGGACAAACATCTGAATAATCTACAGTTGATTGAAAGTGACAAAATGAAAGACCATATACTCACGTCGATTGTTTCAGACATGCGGGCTATGCATGTTTTAGAGTTAGATATAGTTGGTTGATTGTGATTCAATGAATTCCTTATTGTCTGGACATTCGACAGCAATAAGACTGAATCATTATTCATATTGAATAATATACTCTTAATATTTCCTCTTATAACAAACAACCCACCGTTTTTTGATTGATAACTTATAACGAGACAAGTCGGATAAATAATTATATTGTCTACTCACGATGCTGAGCCGGTGCACGAAATAACAGGAAATTCACGGGTTATATAACATCAGATATGTGGAGGGTGAAATCCACCTTCCAGCAAGTTGTAATCATAATGTCAATCAGAGAGACTCTTGTATATTGCATGATATTACAGCGACAGCCAACCTACCTGAGGAAGGTGGGCTATGTTGAAAGAATGACAAAGACGCAACAACAGATTTAATGGGCGAGGGTGTTGAGGTTCTACATGGCTATCCCAATATAGAACTGGAATAAATACTATTAAGGCCTAAATGGCATAACCATGCCAACCAAATTTAGCTATGTGGCGACTTGCCTTGTCCAACATATTTGTTAATAGATAATTAATGCTAAGGCCCAAATGATGGAAACTCACTACCCGACCAACACTGCGGGTCTAAATTGGAGCGAAAGCTGCCAGGCTAAGCTATGTGGCAGATTGCGTTGCCAAATATAATTGTTACTAGATTCCCGAGGGAAAACCTGGGAAAGACTGGGTTCCAACTGGTAAGAAGGTAACCAAGTCTGGGTTCCCGCTGAAAAGCAGGTAACCGTAAACCCTAATTAGTATATATAGGTAGGCCAGAAGAACCGTGTCACTCCATGACATATTTTATTCACATTGATAAAATATGTACAATATTCTGGAGAGATAGATAGATATGTACAATGTGTTGTGCCTGGTACCTGTAATGGACAATAAAAGGTGATGTACAATGGAAATGAGATGGATGGAGGCAAACAGGGCGGGTGGGTGGTAAAGCGGAAAGCGATAATGCAATATAAGACGCGATAAATGGCTGTGCGAAATGGTTACGTCACCTCCGAGGACATGTGCATGCAATGAAGCAACAGAAGTAGGTGAAATTGTAAACATAAGATGATATACCTGCAATAAAAAAACTAGTACTAAATGTACATATTGGACAAAGGGTAGACTCAGCTGTGCAGACCATTGAATAACAGCAGTTTGGAAGACAAAAGGCATTCAGTAAGCTGGTTTCTGAGTATGAGGTGGTTAAAAATTTGTGTATTTAAGATCCAGAATCAGTGTTTCACACTGAGGGGATCGCTGAAACAAATCTGATGTCTCGGGGTCTTGAATCTTTAAAGTAGTCCTGGAGAAAAAGGAATTCCATCTTTGACAGGCTGTAACTCTTTAGTGAGTGGGTGAGTGAGTATGGTTTTACGCCGCTTTTAGCAATATTCCAGCAATATCACAGCGGGATAACTCTTTAGTCATTAGGTGTGTTCTGGGTTTGTCACACGCACTCACTACACAGTACAGGCTCTTCAAGTCCTTTACATGATAAGTTTCCCCTGGAAAAACTTCTAAAGAAGTCCTGGGAAAAGTTAGACAACTTTCGCCCCCTTGGCTGCATTTTTCTTTGAATCTGTGATCTGTGGGACTTTAATCCGTGGGTTATTGTCATATCTGGCAATAATCAGTTCAATTGCTATATGACAACATGCTTGAGATCATGTCACGACTCCTTGCCTATGCTGACGTCATGTAAGTTTAACATAGATAGACACAGCAACCAGTCAAAAATGAAACACCATAGAAAATTAATGTTTTCTTATGGCGGCAGAGGAAGAACCAGTATCAAAAGATCACAATGCAGAATCATTTTTAAATGATTTCTCTTGTGGAAAGGCTGTGAATCGGAAGTGGCTAAGTGTGAAAATATTCAGCATTTTATCAATTCTGTCAAATAAGAGGATGGTGCAGAAGGTCTTAGAAAACTATGATAAAATTTCAGGGAATGTTTTTAAGAAAAGCACTGATATGCAATCCCTGCACCAATGATGGTGTTCCAAAAGGGGAATGATAAAAATAATCCAGAGAATCACAACATTGGTCATTATATATGAATCTATACAACTTTAGCACTATAGACTTGCCAATTATTACTATT